TATCTATCTATCTATCTATCTATCTATCTATCTATCTATCTATCTATCTATCTATCTATCTATCTATCTATCTATCTATCTATCGCATCCATCCATCCATCCATCCATCCAATTTCCATAGCTTCCCATCTCAAGCCATGACTCTGGGCTGCTTATAATTCTAAAACTATAAACACAAATAAAAGACCCAAAATAAACGTACAGAGGGGCTGAGAGACTTGGCCGGTCGTCCCTGAGGCCCAGAGGGGGGGCCCTGAGCACAGTCAGAACCACAGGCATGGGAGCCCAGCCGGGGTTCTTAAGGCCTTAGGAAGAGCTCCTCTTGCAGGCCAGGACCTTCCACACCTTCTGCCGGCCTCCTGTCTCTTGGGAAGACCACCCATTGTGCCGTCCATTGCCGAGTCTCTCGGGTCCCGTCCTGCAGGACCACCACGGAACTCATCTCTGCTGGAGCTCACCTTGGCTGGGTGGAAGGAATGATGGGTTCCGGGCGCCGCTTGGCCTGCAGGATCTCCGTGGAGGGAGAAGCCGGGCTGGCGGCTCCCACCACCGAGATGGCCTGGCCGAGGTTCAGGGTGGAAAGGCGTCGCTTGATCAAGACCCCTTCCGGCTTGGCTATCTTCTCCCCTTTGACAGCTTCCTTGGCCTGCTTGATCTGCTCCACTCCTGCCAGGGAAAGCGGGAGAGTTAACGGCTGACGGGAGGCAACCCCAGCAGGCTTCCTTTCCCACCTTCGGACAGCTGGACTTCAACTCCCAGAATCCCCCAGCCAGTGTGACCCCCCCCTCCCCGGATCACGTCACCTCGGGGCACCGTTGAGTCAGTTGGCAAGCACCCAAATGCAAACCACGTGACCGTGGGAATGCTTGGACGGTCATGAGTGTGAAAAGGGGTCGTAAGTCCCTTTCTTCAGTGCCGTTGTGACTTTGGTCACTGAGCGAACTGTTGTAATTCGAAGACTACCTGCACAGCCCAATTGCCAAGCGTCTCAATTTTGATCACATGACCCTGGGGATGCTGCAATGGTCATTAAGTGTAAAAGCGGTCGTAAGTCCCTTTCTTCAGTGCTGTTGTGACTGTGAGTGATTGTTGAACGAAGGGTTCCACCACAAAACCGCGTTCGACTAAACCNGGGAGGGGCAAGTAGAATCCCGCAAGGCGCCCCTGGATGTGAGTGACATCGAGTTGGCCACACCTATCCAGTCACATGCCCACCTAGCCACGCCCACCTAACCGGTCATTAGGCAGATCATATTAGTGGTCCGCGGGATTTAAAATTATGAATTTGTTGGTCCCTGAGGTCTGAAAGGCTGGTGACCCCTGATTTAAATGGTGTATTTTCATGAAGAGATGCATAAAGCACTCCCAACTATCCCAAAGCCCCCACTGTTTTCATTCCCGCATGCAATTTCTGCAGAGTTTGGCCCATTGAGAGGAACCGTTCTGATAGTCCTTGTAGAAAGGGGAAGGCATGCAAGCTGATTTTATTGCCGTAATGTTGGAAGCCTGGACTTGATTTAGAAATAGGCTGTCTTCCGGGAGGCAGATTAAGTTCCCAAATTGGCTCTTGCTGTTGAATAAATTGCATATTACAAAACAGCAGCCAAATAAGGGGGGTGATTGAATTACTTCTCCCATCTTCTTTTGTGGCTGAGGATGTTTGGGTGGAGAGAAAAAACAGAATCCTCTAAGGAGTCATTACAGAAGGAGAATATCTTAAGAAGAGATCAAAGCTTTGGATTACTTGGTTAAGGGTTTTCTGCACCCAAAAAGGATTTGGACTTTTCAGATCAAGCAACATAAAATAACAGAATAACAGAGTTGGAAAAGCAGTGGTGTGATTCAACCAGTCTAACAGCCGGTTCGCTGGGCATAAATTGCTTTTTTCAGTTCCGTTGTAACTAAATGGTCAGTAAATGAATGGTTATAAGTCAAGGACTACTTGGAGTCCAATCTGGAGCTGACTTGGGCACAAGTGATTCTAGGCAACTTTAGCTAAAGGCTTCAAGGCAGTGCCAAGGTCTCACCTCCATGGGGAGATCAAACCCATCTTGAAACATGATTCGCATGAGAGTACGGATATTCATAGATTGGAATAGACATGGCAACAGGTCAGCCAATGCGGACTGTTTGGAAACCGAAACAGTATTTGCTGTGTCAGCAACAAGGAGACAGCAAGGAGCCTGGGCGTGGCTTAGCTCAACTGTTCTGTACTGAAGCTCTGAGTCTATGCTGAGCTCAAAACTAGTCTGGT